TTCTTTTTTTTTCAAAGACGTCTCAGATAAACCCAAAGACCGTCGATCGGTGTCGACAATATACCAAATTTATGGATTTTAACTGGATAACAGGTTCTTGAATTTCTTTCTATTTTATATTTCATTAATAGCGTCGCAATTGCAGCTTTCATCTGTAACAATGCCATCCTAAGTCCAACGCACATTCTTGGACCTTCACCGAACGGTAAAAAGCAATATTTATTAATTTCAGATTTCCTTTGCTCGTTCCATCGATCTGGATCAAACGCTTCTGGATTGATCCAATATTTAGGATCTCTATGTAATGAACGAACTGGTATAATCATTTTTGTTCCTGGTTCAACTGTACATGTTAAACCATCGTTACCTTTCAATTCAATACCATCGGTACATATTTTGCTCATTACATCCAACACCGTATTCAATCTTTGCGATTCGTTAATCACTTGATCCAGATACGTCATCTCTTTTAAGGAATCATAAGTAATCTCTCCTTGATGTTTATCCAATACTTGTTTGATTTCATTCCTAAGTTTTTCTTGTATGTCGCAATGTATCGATAATTCGAAACAAATGAAACTCAAGGTAGCCGATGATGTTTCGTAACCATCGACGAAGAACGATAATGCATTTGCCGACAATGATTCCTCGTCGAACTTTTGATTTTCACTTTTTTCAAGATCGATCATTAATTGAAAAAAATCATTACGCTTTTCTTTCTCTTCACGTCTATTCTCTATTATCTGTTTAACGATCGTTCGAAAGTAATGATCAATGTCCTTCGGTATAAATTGTATTTTTAAATAATTATTTAGAAACGGAAGGAAAAACATTATTGATTGCAAAGCACTTTGAAACCAACCTATCCTGAATATCTTCTTACCCATCTCATGGAACGATTGTGGATTATAATTATCATCGAAACAAAAACCTTCAATGCCGTATCCTGCATTGGCGACAACTTCACCAGTAAATCTACTGAATAGATCCTTTGTCTCGAATTCGATCCTTTGATCATCTTCGATCTTTTTATACAAATAATCGTCGAACTTCTTACAAACTTTACGTATGGTCTCTGATAAGATTTTCAATCGCATACTCGAAAACGCATAGGTCAATCTTTTCCTATTGATCAACCATTCTTCTCCTTTTAAAAAAAATGGATTCTTGGCTACCAATGGATCTATATCTTTGTCGACCTTCATTGCGTTTTCATGGAAATTCGTGAAATTCGTTTGCAGTACCATCTTAATCAATTCAGGATCCTTTATCAATAATCCGGGTACCGTACCATCGTAATAACCAACCATACTGTTTTTCTTGTAACGATCATACCAATTCATTACCATTTGCGGAATACTTTTTTGTAATAATAATAATGGTAACAAGTGACCAATGATTGGTAAGGAATATGGTACCTCTGGTATACCTTGTCTATTCCAATAACTATATATTTTGCGACAATAAATATACAATGTCAATATTCCGCATAATGCGAGTACGAACATTAACAAACTCATGGTTTGTTTTTTTTTGTTTTGTTTTATTTCTAATCAATTATACACTTGTGTCTCGAATGAAATCGAAAGTAGACCAATGTTTAAAAATCCGTATTTCAATGTTCACGCGCACTATTTTTTTTATTATATTTCGAGCAAATTTATGAAATGATCTTCTCGCGTCGCAATTTTGCTCTGTACTGTTCAATATTATTCGGATGAGCGATAATTTTTTGTATTATGTTTCTGCGATAAGTAAAGACGTACTCTCGTTCGATATCTATGTTTATCATCGCAAAATGAAAAATAATCGTGAACGAGTAAGATAATAAAGAGGATAAATAGAAAGAAATAAAGAGAGAGAGAGAGAGAGAGAGAGAAAGAGTGAGCGAGAGGAAAGGGAAGGGAAAATGATACGGCGTGTTTTTTTCTTTTTTTTTTTTCTTTTCACATGCAATTTGAATTTTATTAAATGATTTTTTTCATAACGCTAGAGTAAAGTAATCATGAAATTAGAGAATAGAAAGATTAGAAACGAAGTTATTCAGAAAAATTTTAATTTTGTTCTTATCAATGTTTTGTTCTTATCAATGTATGGAATGTTTAAACAATTTTTTTTTTTTATCGTATACAGATTACATTTGTTTATATATTTTGTAATAAATAAATAATTATTTTATGTAAAAAAAATATATATATATATATATATATATATATATATTTTTTTTTTTTCCATTCGATGCAAAACAAAATTAATATTACGTAATTGATAATTATTATTCAGATATTAGTTTTCATATATGAAAAATGTGTTAATTGACGAAACTGTTGTTATCGTTATTATTATTATTTTTTTTCTCTTCTTTTTTTTTCTCTCCCTCTCTTTTAATATATCAATAACAAAGCTAGATAATTATATAACTTATGATAGCAAAAGAGTGAAATTATAATTACTTCGAGTTTGGATAAAATCTTGATTGCGATTTCGATTGCGCCTGAATTTTGTCCTAGTTTACAATCCTGATTACGTTTAGATTGTGTTGTGGTTGCAATCAGATTGCATCTGGATTATTTCCTTTTGTTGCATTCTGATTATATATGGATTGCTTGTAAATTTCATTTGCAGATTTGATTTGAATATATATATATATATTTTTTTTTTTAAAGACGTCTAAGATAAATCCAAAGTCCGCCAGTAGGTATAGAGAGTATAGTCAAAACGTCGATATCAATTGGATATTCAATTCTTGAATTTCTTTCTATATTATATTTCATTAATAGGGTCGCAATGGCATCTTTGAATATTTTTTTACCGATTTCATGGCTAAAAAAAAAAAAAAAAGAAAAAAGGAAAAATAGAAAGAAATCAAAAATCTCCTTTATCAAATATTCTTACACCCATATTATCCTCATTTAAAAGATAAAAATTAATATAACTAAGCTGTAAGGTTCAAGATAAAATATTATATAACTGGTTGCATCCTGATTGCATCAGGAATTATGCCCTGATTGCATCCTGGTTGAATCTGAATTGTGTCTTGATTGCATCCTGTTTACATCAACGTTGTATTCTGGTTGCATCCTGGTTGCATCTGGACTGTACCCTGAATGGATTTTGGTTGCATCTAAGTTGTATCCTGCTTGCAACTTGGTTGCATCTGAATTGTGTCCTGCTTGCAGCCTGGTTGCATCTGAATTGTATCCTGATTGCATTCTGGTTACATCAAGATTGTATCCTGGTTGCATCTTGGTTGCATCTAGGCTGTGTCCTGAATGGATTCTGGTTGCATCTGTGTTGTGTCTTGCTTGCATCCAGGTTGTGTCTGACTCTGTATCCTGATTGTATCTCGTATGTATCTGGATTGTGTTCTGGTTGCGTCTGGATTGTAAATTTGATCTACAATCAAGCTAATTGGAAATTTCATCTGCGGTCTGCCTCTGAATTACTTTTAAAGACGTCTCAGATAAACCCAAAGACCGTCCATCGGTGTCGATAATATACCAAACTTATGGATTTTAATTGGATAACAGCTTCTTGAATTTCTTTCTATTTTATATTTCATTAATAGGGTCACAATGGCAGCTTTGATCTGTAACAATGCCATTCTAATACCAACACAAATTCTTGGTCCTTCACCGAACGGTAAAAAGCAATATTTATTAATTTTAGATTTCCTTTGTTCGTTCCATCGATCTGGATCAAATGCTTCCGGATTGATCCAATATTTAGGATCTCTTTGTAACGAACGAACTGGTATAATCATTTTTGTTCCTGGTTCGATTGTACATGTTAAACCATCATTACCTTTCAATTGAATACCATCGGTACATATTTTTCCCATTACATCCAACAACGTATTCAATCTTTGCGATTCGTTAATCACTTGATCCAGATACGTCATCTCTTTTAAGGAATCATAAGTAATCTCTCCTTTATGTTTGTCCAATACTTGTTTGATTTCATTCCGAAGTTTTTCTTGTATGTCGCAATGTATCGATAATTCGAAACAAATGTAGCTCAATGTAATCGATGATGTTTCGTAACCATCGACGAAGAACGTTAATGCATTTGCCGACAATGATTCCTCGTTGATCTTTTGATTTTTACTTTTTTCAAGATCGATCATTAATTGAAAAAAATCATTACGCTTTTCTTTCTCTTCACTTCTTTTCTCTATTATCTGTTTAACGATCGTTCGAAAGTAATGATCAATGTCCTTTTGTATTAAATGTATTTTTAAATAATTATTTAGAAACGGAACGAAAAATATTAGTGATTGCAAAGCACTTTGAAACCAACCTGTCCTGAATATCTTCTTACCCATCTCATGGAACGATTGTGGATTATAATTATCATCGAAACAAAAACCTTCAATGCCGTATCCTGCATTGGCGACAACTTCACCAGTAAATCTACTGAATAGATCCTTTGTCTCGAATTCGATCCTTTGATCATCTTCGATCTTTTTATACAAATAATCGTCGAACTTCTTACAAACTTTACGTATAGTCTCTGATAAGATTTTCAATCGCATACTCGAAAACGCATAGGTCAATCTTTTCCTATTGATCAACCATTCTTCTCCGTTTAAAAAAAATGGATTCTTGGCGATCAATGGATCTATATCTTTGTCGATCTTCATTGCGTTTTCATGGAAATTCGTGAAATTCGTTTGCAGTACCATCTTAATCAATTCAGGATCCTTTATCAATAATCCGGGTACCGTACCATCGTAATAACCAACCATACTGTTTTTCTTGTAACGATCATACCAATTCATTACCATTTGCGGAATACTTTTTTGTAATAATAATAATGGTAACAAGTGACCAATGATTGGTAAGGAATATGGTACCTCTGGTATACCTTGTCTATTCCAATAACTATATATTTTGCGGCAATAAATATACAATGTCAATATTCCGCATAATGCGAGTACGAGCATTAACAAACTCATGGTTTGTTTTTTTTTTGTTTTGTTTTATTTCTAATCAATTATACACTTGTGTCTCGAATGAAATCGAAAGTAGACCAATGTTTAAAAATCCGTATTTCAATGTTCACGCACACTGTATTTCGAGCAAATTCATGAAATGATCTTCTCGCGTCGCAATTTTTTTCTATACTGTTCGATATTATTCGTATGAGCGATAATTATTGGATTCTTGTATTATATGCTTTTGCGATAAGTAAAGACGCACTCTCGTTCGATATCTATGTTTATTATTGCGAAATAAAAAATAATTGTTGACAAGTAAGATGGTAAAGAGGATAAATAGGAAGGGTGAGAGAGAGAGAGAGAGAGAGAGAGAGAGAGAGAGAGAGAGAGAGAGAGAGAGAGAGAAAGTGAGAGTGAGTGATGTGGCGAAGGGGGGTGGAAATGGATGAGAAAATGATACGGGGTGTTTTTTTTTTCTTTTCACATCCAATTTCAATTTTATCAACTGATTTTTTTCATTACGCAAGAATATGGTATAACAATCATGAAATTAGGGAATAGAAAGATTAGAAACGAAATTATACAGAAAAATTTAAATTCTGTTCTTATCAATGTTTTCCTGGAATGTTTAAACGATTTCTTTTTTTTTTTTTTTTTTTTTTTTTTTGAAAGAATGATTGGAAAAAAAAACAGGATCGAACATGATCAATATCTCTATATTAATCTATTATATTAATCATATTTATTCTAATATCTGACCTCGGTGATAATGATAATAATGAAAAACAATAGAATTGTTGATAACGTTATAGAAGAAGAAGAAAGAAGAAAATGATTGTATTTGTTAATCATTCTGATCTAATCTAATAACAGTATAATCAGTTTGTTTGATTACAATGTTTAATTAAACATGAACTATTTGAAAATTTTTTTTAAATATATATATTTATATTTATATTTTTTTTGGATTTCTTACGTACGTGATCATCAATGAAATGACGGAGAACGAATGAAGAGGAAAAAAAAAAAAAAGAGAGAGAAATTAGAAATGAAAAATATTTCTTATGTAAAAAAAGAACTTCTTTCACGGCTAAAATTTTACTTTATCGTCGTCATAATCATCGTTGGACTATATTACGTAATGATAAGCTTGTTTACTTTCTTTTTTCTTTTCTTATTTTTTCTCTCTCCCTCTTTTAATATATCAATAACAAAGCTAGATAATTATATAACTTATGATAGCAAAGGGGTAAAATTATAATTACTTCGAGTTTGGATAAAATCTTGATTGCGATTTCGATTGCGTCTGAATTTTGTCCTGGTTTACAATCCTGATTACGTTTAGATTGTGTTGTGGTTGCAATCAGATTGCATCTGGATTATTTCCTTTTGTTGCATTCTGATTATATATGGATTGCTTGTAAATTTCATTTGCAAATTTGATTTGAATATATATATATATATATTTTTTTTTTTTTTAAAGACGTCTAAGATAAATCCAAAGTCCGCCAATAGGTATCGAGAGTATAGTCAAAACGTCGATATCAATTGGATATTCAATTCTTGAATTTCTTTCTATATTATATTTCATTAATAGGGTCGCAATGGCATCTTTGAATATTTTTTTACCGATTTCATGGCTAAAAAAAAAAAAAAAGAAAAAAGGAGAAATAGAAAGAAATCAATAATCTCCTTTATCAAATATTCTTACACCCATATTATCCTCATTTAAAAAATAAAAATTAATATAACTAAGCTGTAAGGTTCAAGATAAAAAATTATATAACTGGTTGCATCCTGATTGCATCAGGAATTATGCCCTGATTGCATCCTGGTTGAATCTGAATTGTGTCTTGATTGCATCCTGTTTACATCAACGTTGTATTCTGGTTGCATCCTGGTTGCATCTGGACTGTACCCTGAATGGATTTTGGTTGCATCTAAGTTGTATCCTGCTTGCAACCTGGTTGCATCTGAATTGTGTCCTACTTGCAGCCTGGTTACATCTGAATTGCATCCTGATTGCATTCTGGTTACATCAACATTGTATTCTGGTTGCATCTGGACTGTGCCCTGAATGGATTCTGGTTGCATCTATGTTGTGTCCTGCTTACAGCCTGGTTGCATCTGAATTGTATCCTGATTGCATTCTGGTTACATCAAGATTGTATTCTGGTTGCATCCTGGTTGCATCTGGACTGTACCCTGAATGGATTTTGGTTGCATCTAAGTTGTGTCCTGCTTGCAGCCTGGTTGCATCTGAATTGTATCCTGATTGGATTCTGGTTACATCAAGATTGTATTCTGGTTGCATCCTGGTTGCATCTGGACTGTGTCCTGAATGGATTCTGGTTGCATCTGTGTTGTGTCCTGCTTGCATCCAGGTTGCGTCTGGACTCTGTATCTTGATTGTGTCCCGTTTATATCTGTATTGTGGTCTGGTTGCGTCTGGATTGTAAATTTACAATCTACAATCAAGCTAATTGGAAATTTCATCTGCGGTCTGGCTTTGAATTACTTTTAAAGACGCGTCAGATAAATCCAAAGCCCGTCGATAGGTGTCAATATTATACCAAAAGTGCTGATTTTAGCCGGATAACTGGTCCTTGGATTTCGTTCGATTCTATATTTCATTAATATGGTTACAAGTGCAGCTTTCATCTGTAACAATGCCATTCTAAGTCCAACGCACATTCTTGGACCTTCACCAAATGGTAAAAAACAATATTTATTAATGTTTGCTTTCCTTTCTTCGTTCCATCGATCTGGATCAAACGCTTCCGGATTGGTCCAATATTTTGGATCTTTTTGTAACGACTGAAGCGGTATAGTAATCTTTGTACCTGGTTCCACTGTACATGTTAAACCATCGTTACCTTTCAATTGAATCTTTTCGGCACATATACGAGTCATTGTATTCAATAATATATTTATTCTTTGTGACTCATTTATCACTTGATCCAAATACGTCATCTCTTTCAAGGAATCATAAGTAATCTCTCCTTGATGTTTATCCAATATTTGTTTGATTTCTTTCCTCAATTTTTCTTGTATATCGTAGTGTACGGAAAGATCAAAACAAATGAAGCTCAAGGTCATCGATGATGTTTCATATCCGTCTATGAAGAACGTGACTGCATGGCTCGTCAATGATTCCTCGTCGAACTTTTCTCCTTCGCTTTTTTCAAGGTCTACCATTAATTGAAAGAAATCGTTACGTTTCTCATTCTCTTTTCGTCTCTTTTCTATTACCTGTTTAACGATCATTCGAAAAAAATGATCTATATCCTTCGGTATAAATCGTATTTTTAAATAATTATTTATAATAGGTAAAAGGAATGCTGTCGATTGCAAAGCACTTTGTAACCAGCTTATATCGAATATCTTTTTACCAATTTCATGGAACGATTGTGGATTATAATTATCATCGAAACAAAATCCTTCGATACCAAAGCCAGCATTGGCGACAACCTCGCCGGTAAATCTACCAAATAGATCCTTGGTCTCAAATTCGATCCTTTGATTCTCTTTGATCTTTCTATGCAAATAATCGTCAAGCTTCATGGAAACTTTACGTACGGTATCTGATAATATTTTCAATCGCATACTCGAAAACGCATATGTCAATCTTTTCCTATTGATTAACCATTCTTCTCCTTTTAAAAAAAATGGATGCTTGGCTAACAAGGGATCTAAATTTTTATCGATCTTCATTGCGGTCATTGGGAAATTCGTGAAATTCGTTAACAGTACAGTTTTAACCAATTCAGGATCCCTTATCAATAATCCTGGTAATGCACCATCGTAATAACCAACCATACTGTTGTCCTTGTAACGATCGTACCAACTAGCTGCCAATTGGCGCATATTCTTTTGCAATAATAACAATGGCAAGGAGTGACCAAAGATTGGTAAATAATATGGTGCCTCTGGTATACCTTGTTTATCCCAATAACTATATATCCTACGGCAATAAATGTACAGCGCCAATATTCCGCATAGTACAAGTACGACGAGTAATAAACTCATGATTATTGTTTCCTTTTTTTTTTCTTCTTTTTTTTTTTTTTTCTTTTTTTTCTTCTTCCTCCTCCTTTTTTTCCTTTTTGCTATTAATCATTCGTCGTCACGAACGATGTGATATCCCAAATAGATCCGGTATCAATCTTTGATTCACACGTATACGTCAAATAATCTTTCGAGTGATCATCTCACGTTGAAATCTCACTCGGTACTGTCCTCTATTAAACTACCAGTGTGACATTTAATATGTTCTTATATGTCATGCTTTATGTGTTTGTTTGATAAGCGAGGTCGTAATCTCGTTCAATGCAGATTGTTCTAAATGGAAGTGACCTTTGTAAGTTGGGTTAGTATAAAAATCACAATGATTAATAAATGGACGATCAAGAAGAATAAGATGAAGAGAGGATAGAAAGAAAGAGAGAGAGAGAGAGAGAGAGAGAGAGTGCGAGTGAGGTTGGTGGGGGGGGGGTTAGGAGGAGGAGGAGGATAGGGTGAAGGAAGAGAGTTAAATAGAATGATAAGGGGCGATTATTTCTTTTTTATTTTTTTTATTATATTTTACTTTTGTTTTTTTCTTCCTTCTTTTTTTTTTTTTTGTTTTTCATACGGAGTTTTCAACGACGACATATCTAACTTTAATTATATCAATTTGTTCGATTGTCATTACCATAATGTTTATTAATAAGAGTATTAGTAGTAGTAGTAGTAGTAGTAATAGTTGTTAATAATTAATAGTTGTTGTAATAGTAATAGTAATGGAATTAGGATAATAAACAAAATTAGAGACATATTAATACGTAATGTAATTCGGATATATTTATATTTCGTTCTTATCATTATATTTCGATTAGGATATCCAGGTATTTTTTTTTTTCTGTTTTTTGTTTTTTGTTTTTTTTTTTTTCTTTTTTTTATATCGCATCGTATATCTGCTATAGCTTATTATTTATTCTCTTATAAACAAATATTATTTTCATATGTTTATGTATGCGTATGTATATATATATATATATATATATATATATATATATATATTTATTTTTTCTTTTTCTTTTTTTTGATTTTTTTCTTTCTTTTTTTTTTTCTTTTTTTTTTTTTTTCACAATGTCCCATAATTCGTCTAATACTATCGTCGTTGAGAGCTGATGATATTTTATTTTTATGAAAGCTTTGGCGAGTTGTCTGCTTTTTTTTTTTTTTTTTTTTCTTTTTTTTTGAAAGAATGATTTTAAAAAAAAAGAAAAGAGTCAGAGATCTAATGTGATCCCAGTATCGATCTATATATTTACTTTATTGTCTGATATCTTCGTTGATAAAGGATAATAATGAAGGATGAAAAAAATGAAGAGAACGAAGTTTGTCAATCATTCTGATCTAATTAAAAGGTCGATCGTATGTATTTATTATTATTATTACTATTATTATTATTATTATTATTATTATTATTATTATTATTATTATTATTGCAATGGAAATTATTAACATGAGTGTATGGAAAAAAAATTATGGAAAAAATATTTTCACATTAGAAATAATTGGAAATATATATTTTTCATTCGATGATATACTTAATTAATATTACGAATTGAATTAATTTTCATATATGAAAAATGTATTAATTGACGTATCTATTGTCATTGTTATTATTATTATTATTATTATTATTTCTTTTTTTTTTTTCATTTTTTTTTTCTTTTCTTTTTTTTTTTTTTTCCTTTCATATCTTTTTTTGGCCAAGAAAAAAGTCTCTCGTTGATTTTAAATTAATCGATATCGTTAGTTACGTTAAAATATTTGACATCGGAGGAAATTAATGCAATTCGAATTTTACAGATCGCTGAATCAATATAATCGTTTAATACGTTTAAATTCAATTAGAATTATATTTTGCATTATGCAAATCTCGTTAATTTTCTTCGTCGTAATGATAAAATCATTCGTTATAGTCGATTATTATCAATAATAAGCCATTTTATTTTCAATCTATTGAATTATTTGAATCGTTTCGTTTGTATTATGAGTAACAATTAGAAAATTATTTGTTTCGTATTTTTTGAATTTCTTATTAATTATGATTGCATAGTTGAAATAAAAAAAAAAAAAAAAAAGAAAAAAGAAAAATAAATAAATAAATAATAAAAACGAAAAGTAGCAAAATTTTTCCTTCATCGAATATACATATATATATATATCGTTCTTAAATTATTCTTATCGATATCATCGTTTATCAATATTTAAACAAACAATATAAAGGATTGACTATATTCTAATATCACTTCTAACGATGTTGAATTAATAATGTAATTAAATAATATCGATGTAAATTGAAAGGTTATAATATTGTCATCCTAATTTTGCGTCCTGATTTTGTCATTAATTTTAATTCAATGGATTTTATTTTATAGACGTTTCAGATAAACCCAAAGGCCGTCTATAGGGGTCGATAATACACCCAAAAGGCCAATTTTTACTGGATAAGATGTTCTTGGATTTCTTTCTATTCTATATTTCATTAATAGTGTAGCAAGTGAAGCTTTGACCTGTAACAATCCCATCCTAAGGCCAACACAAATTCTTGGCCCTTCACCGAACGGTAAAAAGCAATATTTATTAATTTCAGATTTCCTTTGTTCGTTCCATCGATCTGGATCAAATGCTTCCGGATTGATCCAATATTTAGGATCTCTTTGTAATGATTTAATCGGTATAATTATTTTTGTACCTGATTCAATTTTACAATTTAATCCATCGTTAGCTTTCAATTCGATATTATCGGTACACATTTTTCCCATTATATCCAACAACGTATGCATTCTTTGTGATTCGTTAATAACTTGATCCAGATACGTCATCTCTTTTAAGGAATCATAAGTAATCTCTCCTTGATGTTTATCCAATACTTGTTTGATTTCATTTCTAAGTTTTTCTTGTATGTCGCAATGTATCGATAATTCGAAACAAATGAAACTCAAGGTAGCCGATGATGTTTCGTAACCATCGACGAAGAATGATAATGCATGTGCGGACAATGATTCCTCGTCGAACTTTTGACCCTCACTATTTTCAAGATCGACCATTAATTGAAAAAAATCATTACGCTTTTCATTCTCTTCTCGTCTTTTATCGATCACCTGTTTAACGATCGTTCGAAAGAAATGATCAATGTCCTTTGGTATTAATCGTATTTTCAAATAATTATTTAAAAATGGAAGAAAGAACATTATTGATTGCAATGTACCATGAAACCAGGTAGTCTTAAATATCTTTTTACCAATTTCATGAAACGATTGTGGATTATAATTATCATCGAAACAAAAACCTTCAATGCCGTATCCTGCATTGGCGACAACTTCTCCTGTAAATCTACCAAATAGATCTTTGGTCTCAAATTCGATCCTTTGATCGTCTTTAATCTTTCGAGACAAATAATCGTCAAACTTTTTACAAACTTTCTGTACGGTCTCTGACAATATTTTCAATCGCATACTCGAAAACGCATAGGTCAATCTTTTTCTACCAACCAACCATATCTCGCCTTTCGAAAAAAATGGATTCTTAGCCATCAATGGATCAACGTCTTGGTCAACCTTCATTGCATTTTCATGGAAATTCGTGAAATTCGTTTGTAAGATCATTTTAATCAATTCAGGATCTCGTACTATCAATCCCGGTACCATGCCATCGTAATAACCAACCATACTATTGTTCTTGTAACGTTCGTACCAACTTATTACCAATTGTGAGATATTTTTTTGCAATAATAACAATGGTAACAGGTGACCAACGATTGGTATGGAATAAGGTGCCACTGGTATACCTTGTCTATCCCAATAACTATATATCCTGCGACAATAAATATACAATGCCAATAATCCACATAGTACGAGTACGAAAAGTAACAAGCTCATGATTATTTCTTATTATTGGATCTTTTTTTATTTTTTTATTTTTTTTTTATTTTTTTTTTCTTTTTTTTTTTTTTTAAATAACTTTTTTACACACGTTATTCAAATGAAATCGTAGAAAATAGATATTATATTTACACTCGGTGTATTATTATTATTAATATTATTTTTGTTTTCTTTTCTACTCATTAAATTCACTATCATTTGCTATCAAGCTTATGCGATTGAGATCATTTCACGTTGCGAGTTAGCGCGATACTGTTTCTCGACCGTAATCCAGTGGTAACGATTAATACTATCGTTGCATGTTACGTATTATATTATCTGTTATGTGATAGGTGAAGAAGTGGTATATTATCAGTGTTTATATATTATCAGTATATTCAATGTTACTTATTCGTCGTAAATAGGAATGACCTTTGGGTGATGTGTCATAATATAGTTATAAAGCCTTTTTTTTTATTTAAACGATCCAACTCAACAATGAATATTTATGGAGTGTAAGAGAGAAATAGAATATATATATATATATATAGAGAGAGAGAGAGAGAGAGGGGAGTGATAAGATTATATGATTAGAACAATCATTATTTTTCTTCTTGTTTTTAATATTAAATTTGCAACTATCATCTATTCAATTTTAATTGTATTAATTATATCCGTTGTCATTTCCATATAATTTAACAACAGGAAAAATACTAGTGGTATTAGTATTAGTATGTTAGTGTAGTAGTAGTAGTAGTAGTAGTAGTAGTAGTAGTAGTAGTAGTAGTAGTAGTAGTAGTAGTAGTAGTGAATAGAAGTAATAGTAGTAAGAGGAGGAAGAGGAGGAGATTGATAAAGTACTCTAATCATGGTGTTATGTAATAGAATTAAGTAGTTGAATGATTAGGAACGTAGTGACATGCAATATTGCAAGGATAGTTATACTGTTGATTGTTATCAATGTCGTAATAAGGGACATTTTTACATTTATTTTACATTTATTTATTTTTCATTCATCTTTCTTTTCTTTCTTTTCTCTCTCTCTCTCTCTCTCTCTCTCTCTCTCTCTCTCTCTCTCTCTCTCTCTCTCTCTCTCTCTCTCTCTCTCTCTCTCTCTCTCTCTCTCTCTTTCTCATCAAGGTAAAGAAGGTTACCTTTATTTATTTATTTATTTATTTATTTATTTATTTATTTGTTTTATTCAAATAAATAATGATATCATTTGTATGTATGTATGTATGTATGTATGTATGTATGTATGCATATTTTTTTTTCTTTTTATTTTATTTTGCAGACCGATCATTCGTCTAATGCAGTCGTTATTTCGAGCTACTGAACTTTATGAAAGCCTCGGTGAGTCGTCCACATTTTTTGCAAATAAGTTTTTTCAATGAACCCCAAAGTGTGTGTGTGTGTGTGTGTGTGTGAGAGAGAGAGAGAGAGAGAGAGAGAATTTTTCGTTTAATTCGAAGTATTGATAAAACTATTTCACTCTTCTTCATAATTTCTTTCACAGTTTCTTTTTTTAGAAAAAAAAAAAAAGAAAAAAAAAAAATACAAAAAAACAAAAAAAAGAAAAAATTCTCGATTTATTTCGATCAGCTTCTCCCTCTCTCTCCCTTCCTCTCTCTCTCTCTCTCTCTTTTTTTCTTTTCTCGTTTCAATTTGACTCTATATTTTTATATTTCTTTCATATCATTCCTCTTTTCAATATCACATTAATCTTAATTCATTTTTCCTTTTTAAATTTCATCCTTTTTAAATTTCATTTATTAAAACTCGATTTCATTTGTTCCAATAATCGTGAACAATCGAACAATCGTAGTTCGCAATCGATCGTGTTCGGATCAATCGAAATATTTGTTTGAATTATCTCGCGATTGTAAAAAATCTTTTAATTCTTGCAATTCTTTTCTTTTTTCTATTTTTTTTTTTTTTTGATATTCTTTTTATTTTCCCTCGCGAGAGAGAGAGAGAGAGAGAGAAGAAACGAGAAAGAAAAGAGATAGGAAATAAATTAAGTGTATCGTTCGTATCGTTAGAAATCGCATGACCGTCGTATTTAGGTTCGCGTGATATTAAATGAACGATCTAAGACCACGTAAGATCATCACGTAATAATCATTGATAATTATCGTAACGATCTATTTGATCCATAATTATTTCAGTTCTATTTATATATATATATATATATGTGTGTGTGTGTGTGTAAAAAAAAGTATATTTTCTTCAGATAGATTTGCCGCACGTCTGATGACCTTCGCCCTTCCATTGTCCTTTGTTATTTACAAATTCTTTTTTTCTACCTACAAATCGATCAGTCAAGATTTAGAATAGAAACGGATAATAAGAAATAAAAGTGAAAATTAGCAGGAAATTATAATGATATATTTATAATAGATAATATATATAATAAATAAAATTTAAATATCGTAAATAATAAATGTAAATTGTTGTCCCTTTAATGTCACGGTTTAATTATGTCAGATGATAAATGAAAATATTTTTCTCCGTGAACAATGTAATATATCTTTATTTTTGTTAATTAATCCTTAATAAATAATTAATCTTATCTTTGAACGAAGACGCGACAATAAACGTTTATCATTCACATTATTTAAATTTTATTTATTATATATTATTTATTATAAATATATTCGTATAATCACTTGTTAATTTTCTCTATTACGTTCTATTTCTTATTGCCTCGTTTCTCTTTCAAATCTTAATTGATCGATTTCTTGATAACAAAAAGAATTTGTAAATAACAAAGGACAATGGAAGGGCGGAGATCATGAGACGCACGATAAATCTATTTGAAGAAAGTATACTTTCTTTACATATATATATATATATATATATATATATGTGTGTGTGTGTGTGTATATCTTTTTTTATTTTATATATATTTCTCCCTTTCTTTTTTTTTTTTTTTTTTCATTTTCATTTTCATGCATATTTATCTCTCTTTATATACAATTTATTCATGTATATATATATTCATATATATATATATATTTACTTATTTATTTATTTATATATATATATATATATATATATCTTTCTGTTTTCTCACTCTCTCTCTCTCTCTCTCCTTCTCTCTCTGTTTCACATATTTTTCCCTTTTTCTTTCTCTCTCTTTTTCTCTTCCTCTCTTTCTCTCTCTGTTTCAAATATTTTTCCCTTTCTCTTTCTCTCTCTTTTTCTCTTTCTCTCTTCCCCCCTCTCTCTCTCTCTTTCTTTCTCTCTCTGTTTCACATATTTTTCCCTTTTTCTTTCTCTCTCTTTTTCTCTTTCTCTCTTTCTCTCTCTTTCTTTCTGTTTCATATATATCTCCCTTTTTTTCTCTCTTTGTCTGTTTTATATATATTTCTCTCCCTCTCTCTTTCTCTCTCTCTCTCTCTCTCTCTCTCTTCCTTCCTATGTTCGTGTATAACACCCTTTTTGCTTCCTGCCAGAACCAGGAGCCTTTGATAATTAAGTTGAACCCTCAGCGACATCGGCTCTATTGTGCTAGGTAAATGGGCTGTTTAGCCTGGATACATGACTCTATCTCTCATTTAGTCTCTCTCTCTCTCTCTCTCTCTCTCTCTCTGTCTCTCTCTCTCTCTCTCTCTCTCTCTCTGTCTGTCTGTCTCTGATTATGCATCTACATAGCAAAGCAATCGATCATGCTTTAGTTTCGATTTTGATATTATCGAAGACTAGGCATTGAAAACGCACTGAGATATTATCAATTAAGAGATATTATCGTTTTGCGTTAGAGACGATTAGAAGATAGATTAGAATTAGAAATGTACTTTTCTTTTTTTTTTTTTCTCTTTTTTTTTCTCTTTTTTTCTTTTTTTCTTTTTTTTTTTTTTTTTTTGGAATATTTAGAAATCAAAGTTTTAATAAAAATTCAAATCGTTTTTCATTTTCGTCCAATCATGATACTACTTTGTCATTTTACATTTTTATTTATACTTTCATTCGCGATATTTTTAATTAATTTTTTTTTATTTCGATTCGCCATTAATTCGATTAATTCGAACATCGACGTGGTTTATAATTATCATTAATTTAACATTTAAAATCTATTGATATTAGGGATGTTTTTATATTCAATGTGTTGACTATTATTATTATTATTATTATTATTTGTTTTTTATTTTCGATGCATCTAATCTAATACATTTAATTTGTTAGAAATTAAGTTACGTAAGTCGTAAATATTTTTAAATGCAATGTTTATGAAAATTAATTTTCATTTTTCTATTCTAATCTATTATTTAATTTGTATGACCACATTTATTTTTCTACATTAGATTATAAAATTAATGATAGTAATTACAAAAAAAAAAACTAATTAAAAAATTAATTAAAACTTTGAACTAATAATTTTTAATCTAATCGACTTAGTTATTAGAAAAATTAAACAATAAGTATAAAATATGTTATTGAATGTTTTTTTTTTCTTTTTTTTTTTCTTTTTACTATTATTATTACACAATACGACAAATATATTTTTTATAACGATTTAGATCTACATTTTCGTTCTATTATATCATATTTAAAGATCTAATCTATCTAATAATTTAGAAAAATTCTTAGATAATAATAAAATCATTACGGAAAATAATCCATCCTTCCTTTCTATCTTTCATTTTATTAGACGAATAAGGACACCGTTATTCGATAGTATTCCATTATAGATTATACGAGCTAAGAAGCTCAACTTTGTTAAATCTATTAGAAACTAATTCCACGAGAAATTTTTATCTTTTTTGAAAAATCGATTGGCACACCATCTTTACAGAATTTCAATTCTTCGAACTCTTTGATAGGATATAACCCTTCGAAACGTGATACGAATATCTCACTACTCTTAACGATCTCGTTCCTAATGTAATACAAGTAGCGGTGGATTGGTGGACCAAGGGTGGGCTGGTGGAGGGCCAAGGGTGGGCTGGAGGTGGGCCAAAAAGTTGCAAAAGGTGGGCCGAAAAAAAAGTTCAATCCTTAGATGATTTTTAAAGATCGATCGCTCGTCCTCCCCCTCCTCCTACTCCTCCTACTCCTCCTTTCCCCCTCAGCACCACTTTTCAAACGCCTACCTTCCTCGAGATTATTTAGGCTAATTTTCTTTTCCTGTTTCTTTTGTTTTGTTTTTGTTTTTAGATCGTAAAAATTTTCAATCTCGTAGCTTCCTTCAATCTCTGACCTTGAATGTTCCTTTGGTTTTGTTTCTTCCTTTTTTTTTTTTTTTTTTATTTATTTATTTTTTCCTTATCTTCCGGTTATCAATCGAATTAGATCATTTAAAGGAATGAATTCTCTCTGACTTT